CTGTGTCATTTGGTTTAAAGAACTTAGCTGTCTTATTTTAGATTAGAAGCATGGTGGCTTGGAGGCGAGGACTTTATCCTGTCTGTCAAAACTATGCCGTGTATGTATAAGGGAAATGGAAATGACTAAGCTCATTTAGATAGGCACACAGATACTGGTCAATCTGTGACCCAAGTCTTGCCTCAGAACCAGTGAAATTGAAGAAACTGACCATTTTTAACTTTACATTGCATTAAGAATCAGAAGCAAATCTAGTGGTTACCAGAGGGGAGAGAAGGAGTATGAGAGGGATGAGCAGGTAGCATGATTATGTATTGACATTGGAGCTTTTGGTGGAGGATGAGTGAAGCATATGCACATGTTGAGGCGTGAAGTTGTACTCCCCAAATTATATTGTTACATATACAAATGACTAATAGATTAAATTTGATTGAAAATAACTGCATGCGTCCCTCTGTGTATAGAAGCATTATTCACAAAAGGGGAGACATGGAATCAACCTAAATGCCTACTACTGGATGACTGGATAAGGAAGTAATGGTGCATGTGCCCAATGGACTACTACTCAATTGTTCATAGATGAAATTATACCTTTTGTGACAACATGTATGAGACTTGAGGTGATGACACTAAGTGAAAGAAGTCAGACAGTGAAAGACAATCACCAGATGGTTTCCTTCATATGTGGAATATAAACAACCAAAGCAAATAACCTGACAAGCCGCGACAGAAATAACTCCAGATTCTGTGAAAAATATGGTGGTAACCAGAAGGGAAAAGGGAAAGGGGTGGGAGGAATGGCGGCGATCAGATTAACAGTGTGATGACACTAGACTGTAGCAGTGGGTGAGTGAAGCATGTACACATGTTGCATGTGAAATTATATATTATTTTAAACCAATGGAAAATGAATAATCAAAAACATTTGATTTTAAAAAGACTAAATCAACAAGAAATAGAAAACCTAAACAGACCAATTCACAAGCAAGGAAATTGAAACAATAACCAAAACATAAAAGCCTAGGACCAGACAGTTTTACTATGAATTCTCCCAAACCTTCTGATGAACTAATACCTATTCTTCTCAAACTTCTAAAAATTTGAAGGCGAGAGAATGCTCCCAAACATACTTTATAAGCAAACTTTACTCTGATACTAAAGGCAGACAAGGACATCACAAAAACAAAACAAAACAAAACAAAACAAAACAAAACAAAACAAAACAAAATACCTAGATCCATATACCCCTTTTGAACTTAGATACAAAAATCCTCAAAACAATCTCACCAAGCCAAATTCAACAATACATGGAAAGGATCAGACATAAGGACCGAGTGGGATTTTTTTCCAGGGAAGAAAAGATGGTTCCACATCCACAAATTGATCAATGTAAATTCATCACATCAACAAAAGGAAAGACAAAAGTCAGATGGTTATATCAATAGTTGCAGAGATAGCATTTGGCAAGACTCAGCACCTACTTCTAAAAACTCTCAATAAAATTGGCATAGAAGGATCACACCGCAACATAATAAAGGCCATATATTACAGATACACGAGAAATGTCCCTGTAGATTTGAGATTACCAGGAGGGGAGGCTGGAGGTTGGGGAGTTAAGTAAAGGGACAGGGTCCCAGTGGACTCTGGTGGAGGACGATGTGTGCCTTGGTGGTGATGTGATGTGATAACCTACATCTGAAGAGGTTTGAACCTGTGTACATCTAAATCACACACAGTGTTATGAACTCACGTTACCCCAATTTAAAAATGAGATCAATAAAAAATGTACAAATGAATTTGGGGCAAAAAGGTAAAAACTGAACAGCTGAAAATAACTACAAACTTGCTCTCCTCTTGTAGAACAAGACTAATGCAAATAATTTGTTAGGTTTTATTGAGGTATAATCCACACATCATAAAATACACTTATATAAAGGAGAGAATTCATTGAGTTTTAATATATTCACAGTGTTTTGCAGCCATCACCATTATCTAATCTTAGCACTTGTTCATCAACCCAAAGAGTAACCCTGTACTCATTAGCTGTTGAGCCCTAGTCTCTCCTCCCCACCCCCAAGCCCTGGAACCTTCTAATATTTTTTCTGTCTCTAAGTTTGTCCTACACATTTCATGAAAGTGTGATCATCCAATGTGTGACCTTTTGTATCTCATTTCAGCACATTGTTACATTTTATTGCCTAATACTGTTTATTTGATAGATATACCAAGATTTATTTATCCATTCATTAGGTGGACAATGAGTTATTTCCATTTTCAGGTATTTATGAATAATGCTGCTATGAACATTTATGTATAAGCTTTGGAGTGGTCGTGTGTTTTCATTACACTTGGTTATATACCAGGAGTGATTACTGGGTTATGTGATATCTGTATTTTTAACCTCTTGAGGAATTGTCAGACTGTCTTCCAAAGGACTGCACTGTTAATGGGCTGGGCGAGTCCTACTTGAGGGACAGATGTCTGTTATCATGGACAATGTTAATGGCTCCCCCTGGACCATTGCTCAGCTACGTAAGTACCTGATGGACCCCATCTCTTGTTTTTATCTGTCCCAGGGAGAGCTCTTCAAGAATGGAGTTGGCTCTCAGGGCGTCTTCCTGATAAGTAGGATATTTGTCAGGCCTTTTATAATTCCTGCTCATCAGAGGAGAGCCAGCTTACCCCTGGTCCTGCTCTCCCAAAGCTGGAACTCTCAAGTGGGGAGAGAGGTTATGACTCATTGATTTAGTGCTTCCTAAAATATAGACAAAGGAAAGGAAGGTCTGACAATATTGCCTCAGTCACATTGTTTTCTTTAAAGAGAAAAGTTTGAAAACTCAAAACATTCCTCAGATTTGGTTGTGCTGACCAGTACAAAGTTATCTTTTGAACTTTAAGGTATTTTGAAATGACAAAAAAAAAAAAAAATCACTAGTGAAAATCTAAACATCAGTTTGACTTTGATTTGGCTTTATTTGTTACAAGAAGGGGGGAAACTCATGTACAGAATCTAAACTACGCTTCAGCATTCTTTGCCCAACCCCTCAGATCAGATCATCACAAATAGAACTTTCAGAAATGTTCTCTACTGTCTACTGTCCATCAGTCTCTCTGTCTCCTGGAGACAGACGCAGTGCTCGTCCTTTAGGGCCTCTGCTCTTATCTTCAAACCTCACAAACTCTGGCTACCACAAAGGCTAACCCAGCAAGCTAAGCTTCACTGAATACTGATTATAGGTGTATTTATCATTAAATTGTCTGACTTTGTATAGATGTGGTAATATTAAGTGAATAGATATAATTTTTTATTAGTTTCAACTATTTTTTTCAAATATAGTTTCCTTGAACCTCTGGTACTTGCTGCAATATGTCTGATAGTGAGGACTCATAGATCATAAAAACAAATTAACAAATGGAAAACAGGCAGTAATGGAAAAGAATGTAAAACAATCTTACCCTGTCAAATTAGTATAACTTTAAAGTATTTGGGAAAATGTCTCAAGTTCAATTCTCAGGCAAGCATTTCCTCAACGTAGACATTGAGCATCAACCCATGTGTGTCTTCTGCTGAAGCTCTACTCTGAAAGAAGATAGTGGTATATTGTCCCAAATATTCATAGTTTGAATCTGATGAATTAATTTGAGGAGGAGAAATGATGCCAGTTAAACTAGACTTTGCCATTTCTCTTGGTATTTTACCTACACCTATCACCAGAATTTGATCCTAACAAGCTGAGCCCACACGAAGTGCCAGGCACTCTGCTAGTTGATGGAGATAGAAACCTAGATGGGACATGGTCCTAACAATCAAGGCCCTCGGGTGTGGTGGGAGACACAGAGGTAGAAGTAAGCAATTCTAATACAGTGCAGTGTGATACCTGTGACAACAGAGAGATGTTCCAAGCACTAGGGGTACCAAACAGTAGGCACAAATCTGTGCAGGTGGGAGTAAGCAGGGCCTTTCCAGAGCAAAGGAGTATTTACCTGGCTCTTGAAAGATGATTAGGAACGTTTCAGACAAAACAAAGTGGGTGAGGACAATGTGAATTGAGGAAAAACTGATGTGAAGTTAAGATGAGTGGTACAGCTAAATATATAGAGCAAAATAAAAAATTCAAAAAAGCCCACTGCCTTTTTCTATTGATTTACAGCTTAATCATTTGAGCACAATGAATATTTAGAGACTGTATGATATAAAAAGAACAATCAGAATAAGCTATTATGTCTTCCTGAATCTCATTTAAAACCTAATTAGATCTGGTGGGAAGCTGGCAGAGTCCCGTCTGGGTAGAAGGAGATAGATCTGTCACTGTAAAAAAAGAAATATCAAAAAGTCAGCTTATTTCTCTATAAGCCAAGCATTTATCTTTAAACTCTACTTTGCAATGCTGGAAGAGTAGGTACTTGTGTTAGAAAAGACATTTTGGGTTATAAAGTATTTTTTAGATCTGTTTACATCTGATTTGTACAACTGCCTTTGAGGTATGGACATATAGAACATGTGCTATTACCCGTTTCACCCACATATAAACTAAGCTCAGAGAGAAAGTAACTTGCCCAAAATCACAAAGTGTGTCAGTTGCAGAGCCACAACGAAAATCTGGATCTTCTGATAGATCTTCTGATACTAAATTCTGCTCTGTACTCAGCCACATACTTTATTTACCAAAATCTTCAATATACTTCCAAAGTAAATTATGTCATGAAATTGTAACTGTACTTTAATTGCTCTGTGATAATCTTCAATTCTATCAATTAAATTGAATTAATACATTTCTTCACAATAAGCCTACTTATATCTACTTTGAGAGACAGGTAGGCCAGGGTTAGTAACAGTTCCTCTTGTTATCCCCAACGTAGGTACTTCACAATTTCTGTTGCTTTTCCTAAACCCTACCCATGCTTTTGTAAAAAGCTCCCTGAGTTAAATTCTTCTTAGTTTATCCAAGATGTGTATACCATCTGTTTCCAGTTTGGACCCTGGAAAAATCCCTGTCCGGGCCAGCCGGGCAGATCAACGGGGTACCCGGGGGAGGAAGCAGGGGCTTGGTATGGGACAGGGGTACGCAAGGAGTGGAGACAAAGCCAGGATCATCGCCAGTCTCATTTATTCAGGAATGTGTACAATGTTATATAGGGTTCACGACAACCAATATCAAAAGGGTTAATAGGGAACCCATGAGGGGAAGAAGGTAAGGTAAGAGTCCATTGAGACCAGTCCAGGGTGGATTTTCAGCTAGCTCCTGGCGTCTTCTTTCCAGGTCATCTTGTAACTGTCGGATTTTATTGCGGACAATTCCTGATTTGTTGGCGTAGAAACAGCATTTCTCCTGCAGGACCAAGCAAATACCCCCCTTTTCCGCAGTTAGCAAATCAAGGCCCCGTCGATTTTGAAGGACTACCTCAGCTAAGGAGTCAACCTGATCCTGAAGATCCTGAATAGTACTAGAAAGAGCATGAACATCATTAATAAGTTGTTGAGACAGTTTAGTATATTGTGAGAGAGATATGCCTAATCCAGCTGTCCCTGAGGCCACAGCGGCAGTTATACCCAGGCCTGCAAATAAGGGAATCAGGTGTACTGCTCTCTTACTTCTACTGAAAAAATTGGTCAACCGTTGGAATGGGCATGGGCTCACTTCCAGGAACCACGTTTATGTTGGGTAGAAGGAAACCCAACACGCATTGACCAGTCCTGTTAGCCGGCAATGGATGTGATTTATTTCCAGAACGCCAGAGGAGCCTTTCTCTGTGCTCCCAACGGTACCGACCTGGGCCGGCCGCTTTACGCAGGCTGCCTGGTGTGGTACCCCCGACCCCGGAGGGGTCACCACGTCTGATTTGGTGAACGTACGGACACACGTGGGTGCAGCGTACGTACTGTGGCCCAGAACTGCCGATCAAGCGATCCTCCTGCTTCAGCCTCCCATGTAGCCTGGGATTACAGGCGCGCACCACTGCGCCCGGCGTGTCAAAAAACTGGATAGGCTGAACCAAAATGGGAACCGTGAAGGAGCAATTACGGTATGGTGCAAGTGAGGAATTGGTTGTTGGAAAGGCCAAAGGCACAGGGAAACCCATTTGTAAGCATTACCAACAATTATTGGCCAGTGAGGAATTTGTTAAATTAAGTAGATTGAAAGAGGAGTGGAGGATATTAAAAGTATTGTAGTCAATGCCCAACTTTTGTCTTTCAGCAGGAAGGGCAAGTGGATGATAGCTAAGCGCAGGGGGAAGGCGTGGTGCAAGCTGTTTTAAGACTGTACTGACAAAGTGATCTCTGGCTTTGTCTTGAGGACCTCCTCCATTGGTGACATGTACTGGGGCAGTAGTTGCCCAGCACACTGTGTCACCCACCTTTTTGTTGGCACCACAGGTGGTTAGCAAGGTAGAGGCCTATAGCTGACTCGCAGGGGATGTCCTGATAAGAACAGCAGTATAATAAGTCTTATTATTATTGGCCATGCATTCAGAAAAGGTCTTGTAATGTTAGGGGGAAAAGGATGTCCCAAAGCTAATTTTATATAGGCTTTGTGGACTCCACCCCCACCCCAGGGTTGCTCTATAACAGTAACACGAGGAGTGTACTGACTCAGCAAAGGAAGTGCAGGTACACTGCCCTCCATGTGAGGGGCCACCTATAGCTGTCCGGAGGCATTTATAGCGGGACTTACGGCTGGAGCCTGCAACAGTGATCAAATATGTGATGTGGCCAGGGCAAGTAATGTAAGAGACATACCCATTAGGAGCGGTAGAGAAATAGCCCCACCTGTACTCACAAGGTTTACCATGAAGATGTTGAGTCAAAGGCACAATCTTGCCTGGATCCTTGAAGCCGGCAAAGGCCGAAGAGAAAAGTAACATCTCAGCATATTGGATGAGTCAGGAAGCGGTCACCATGCTGTAACAAATCTGTAACAAATCTGACAAGCCCTTCAGGCAACCATCGGGCCGCATCATGAGTCTGTGAAGAGAAACATACTGATCCCCTTCCCCAGATCAGAACTGGGTTAGGGCCGTACAGAGATCCTGAAATTTAGTCCTCCAAAGTAAATGATCTCCGCTGTCAAGGGCAGCCTTTACTAAAGTTTGCCAATCTAGGGGAGTGAGCCACCCTTCTGCAATAGAATCAAGAATTGTGAGAGTGAAAGGGGCACTAGCACCATATTGGGTAACAGCGGTTTTTAATTCCTTTAAATGTTGAAAATTATGTGGTTGGTGATAGCGGCGGAGGTGGCCTTGAACATCTGGAGCTTCAATAACAGGAAAGACAGAAGCCGCGGAAAAGGGTTTTTTGGGAGGCGGGAAAGCGGACAAAGCCGCGGGAGCCGGGGGAGGAGTTAAAGTGGTGTCTGCGTCAACTCCGCCCCGTAAAGGCGGCTTTAAGGTGGTCTCGGCGTCACCCCTCCCCCATAATGGCGGAGCGGGATCTGAGTTGGATGAGGAAGTTAATTGGATCTGTTGAAGTTGAAGGGAAAGTTTATGATAACGAGCCTGTAGGCGCATGCGCTCCTCAAGGTGGGCGATTTTGGTTTTAAGGTCGAGATTAGGGTCAGCGAGTTGTGAGGGCGCAGAGGCAACAGCGGCCGTGTAATAAGGAGGAGAGTGGGGATTGTAACTTGCAGCCTCCTCTTCCAGGTTGCTCCAATCTACTTCGCCTGCCTCAGGATCCTCCCCTTTTGCGATAGTGGGGGGAGGTTGCGAAGCAACTTTGATTTCGCTTTTGGAGTTAAGCAGTGGAAAAACTCCGCCCTCTTCTTCAGATGAGCAAGGAGGGTTTGTAGCTACAAAAGTAAACTTGCTCAAAGAGGGATAAATTCTGTTTTTCTTTTCTATTTTGGGCCGGGTCGGGAGAGGCCCTTTCATTTTTCTCTAAAGGTTCTTTTTGTTCTTCTTTGGATGGATCATCCTCCGCATCACTGTGAAACGGAATTAAGTCCAGCGATCATTGGGGGATGGGGCCCCTGCAGTGCTGGGAGAAGCACTTCTAAGCAGTTGTTTGGTTCCCCCCACCCTTTTCCATCTTTTTTGATTTATTGTGCCCTCTTGAGGGAACCAAGGACACAGGTCTTGAACAAAATCAAAAAAGTGGAGTAGATCCTTTTTTGTGACCCTGACTCCTCGCGTCCTAAGTGCCACTTTTAATTGCTTCACATATATCTCATGCTGGCTTATTTCCTGTCCCATGATTCAGACGCTGTACCTGAGCTTACCTTATCCATGACGCGGCAGGGTCCCACGTCCATAAGGCTTCCTCCTGAGCTAGCTAGCTTCCTTTTCGGGCGTCTTCTCCCTCTGTAAGTTCTTCCTCATACCCGGGCCCCACGCTGGGCGCCAAATGTCCGGGCCAGCCGGGCAGATCAACGGGGTACCCGGGGGAGGAAGCAGGGGCTTGGTATGGGACAGGGGTACGCAAGGAGTGGAGACAAAGCCAGGATCATCGCCAGTCTCATTTATTCAGGAATGTGTACAATGTTATATAGGGTTCAGAGGAGGAGGTCTCTCGTTATCTCTAGCAAGGAGAGACCACCAATGCAAACAAGCCACAGTAGCAAGCAGGGGGAAAGGATCAGTCGTCACAATAGGAAACTTGAAACCTTCACTGGAGCTAACATTCAGTACCTGCTTCAGGCAAGAACCCGGATGTTCAGGTCTGGGCCTCAGGTCTGGGCCCTGACAAATCCCTAACCTTTTTTTTTGTTTGTTTGTTTCCTTGCATTCATTCCCAATAATCTTTTCAATTAAATATATTCATTACATATTCACCGAGACAGTCCTACTCTCACTGTCCCCTAGCTCCTCATGGTCTAGTGCTAGCTCTTAGTCATGAAATCAGTCACAAGAATATTTCCATTGGCTGTATTTAGTGGTTAAGAATATAAGCCTTTAGTCCCTGGAGAACTATGGAGTTGTTGGTGTTTAAGCACCAATAGCAAGACTCATCACATATTTCACAAACATGGGGCGTAGATGGATGGTATAACTATAGATGAAGGCATAGATATCAGCTGGCTCTGCTTGTTTAAAGTTTTCTGCTTCAAATGATTGCTAGTCCACTCATAAGTTCAAGCTCTACTCCTAAATTACTGTGACAGTGTCATCTAGAAACTGGTTTTGATGTTCAGATATAGAGCCTTTCTCTATTTTGTTGAAAGAAAGAGAAGTAAGAAAACCAACAATGGATTCTTGTGCAAAGAATGTCTGCTAATGCAGAGAGCTGTTATTTTAAGTACTGACAGGGCCATGGACTCCCAACATAAATTAGCTTCTTGCTGACCACACACCTCCCCCCACCATTTAAAATGGGGACCCTTTGAGAATGGGTTGCTGTGTCATAGGTAAGCACCCACAGCTCAGGCAAAGAGTCTCTACAAAAATCAGAGAGCTATTAGGGACAATTATCTGTATATCAGAATAAAGCCTTTATATGTAGATGCCCACCAAGTAGCTCAAATGAGTGTGACCATTTGAAGAGTGAGATTCTGAAGAATTGTCTTTCTGAAGTCCTACCTCAGAATACTACAATTCTACACAGAGATAGTAGAAGCAAATCTGTCAACAACCAAAATGTTTGTTTGGTGTTAGAAAACTGCATCAGTTCTTTTTGATAGATTTGCTGATCTGCTCTGTGAAACAAACTCTCAGTTGATCCAAATAACTTATGTATCTTGCTGTTACTGTCCACTACATTGACACATTTGACCAAACTATTAGTTGCTGGGGTCTTCTGTAGCAGAGCGTAAGTTCTGACAATCTCTAGGAGAAGAAATAAAGCAGTGTAGTCAGATTTGTGATGAGCACAAGAGACAAAGTGTATAGTATGGAAGGGGAAGATGATTCCTGAGCCATCATTACAACCCAAATCCTTCAAAAGAGTACAATGCAAACATTTTGGTGATACCGTCTAAAACTGGATTTGAACTAGGGCAGCTTCCACACACAGAAATAGAGAGAATGTGTTGCCAGGGTGTTCCTAGTGTCTGCGGGTTTTGAAAATACATCCTGGTTTTACTGTCTATTTGGAATATCTCATTATCATCAAAAGGAATATTTGGTTCTGATATCTTACATATTTACTGTCTTTAAAATATAACCTGGGGATTGCAGTCCTTGACGTTTACATTTATCTAATTTATTGTCCACAGGCTTGGAATTGCTTATTTAATTTAAATTAATGGGCCATGTTCAAATCAAAGAGAGCTAAACTAATTAAGGCAGAATAGTCTAATCTGGCACTTTAAACTCCAAGATTTATTGCAGACATACAAGATTTGAATTTGATTGCATTTTTTGAACCAAGCCAGGAAATTATTGGACTCTAATCTCTGGGCTAGGTTTATCTATAATGAAGTCCAACCTAATATTAGAGGTGGGGGTTCAATTCAGCTCAATACTTGACCTCTGTGAGCCATATAGGAGTTGAGTACTGAGGAAAGAGAGATGACTAGCCTCATTCCCTACCTTCAAGGAGCCCACAGTCTCTTCAGAGGAATTGGAGGAAAGCAATACTATCACAAAGAATGAATCTTCCTATGGGTGGTGGTTCCTGTGGCACCCGTCGACTATGAAAAGCTGTGTGGAGGTTCCTCAGAAAACTAAAAATGAATCTACCATATGATCTAGTGATTCCACTCCTAGGAATCTACCCAAAGGACACAAAAACACTAATTGGAAAAGAAATCTGCACTTCTATGTTTATTGCAGCAGTATTTTCAATAGCCAAGATAGGGAAACAACCCAAATGCCCCAAAATAGATAAATGTATAAAAAAGTTGTGGTATGTTTATACAATGGAATATTACTCAGCGATCAAGAAAGATAAACTCATGCCATTTGCAGCAAAACAGATGGAGTTGGAATGGATTATGCTAGCTGAAATTAGAAGGAAAAAGAGAAATACTGGATGGTCTCACTTCTACGTGGAATATAGAGAAAACAAACAAAAGGTCAAGAAAAATTCTCAAACCTGGCAAGCTGACCATAGAACTGAGGCATACAGCAAAGTGGGGGGCAAGACAGGGTAGGGAAGAGCACAAAGGAATATGGTGATGGTTCATGGGTGATAAGGTGGCTGGAGAACTATGGGGACTACAACAATGCAGGAAAAAATTAATTCAAAAAAAGAATGAATTGTCCTATCTTTTCTCAGTCTAAAACACTTCTGAAGAGGATATAACTTCCAAAGATACATTTTGGTCAAAAAGTATTTACTAAAAAAAAAAAAAAAAAAAAAAAAAGCTATTACCTGCTATGCTATGTGTTGGAAACTGGTACTTTGTTTCTGTCACTGAAATGCACCTGTAGAAGACAGAGAAAAGAAACTAATGTTTACAATAGAATAGGCCTAGGAAGATATATGAGCGCTATGAAGAGAAGCACAAGTGGTTTCGGAAGTATTAGGAATTATGAGCTGCTGCCAACTAATAACGAATGCATTCAATAAGCATTTAATAAGTGCCCACTGTGTTCCAGGCCACAGGGTAAAAATAAGTGAGACATGATCACTTTCCTGATGGAGCTCATGATTCCGGGGAACTGTGCATTGCAAAGTGCTAAAAATTTTTACATTGGACAAGTTTATTACAACAAAAATAAAACACTAACCATTCAAACATTTGAAAGACTGACTTAAGGTGAAAAAACAAACAAGATTCTGAGGGCAGAATAATGAATAATGTAAATGTAAAGACTCAGAACTGTTAGATGAAGATTAATAAACAATTTATTTTCTAAGTGTATTGTGATTTAAAAATTATTTTAAAACTTGAGTTCAAAAATGACTCAGTGTAGTCATGACTTATATGAATTAAATTATCTTGCCTCAAATATTCTCCTTGGGTTAGATTCCAATTTATGCCATTAGGTTGTATACATAATAACATTAAATCACTGGTTGAGAAGTGTCAGATTTAGTCAACTAGTTTTTATCTAGTTTTTGTTAAATGGTTTAAATAAAACATTGTCTAGAAATATAACAATGTTTAAACAGTGATTCACAAAATTTTTGCCTTAGTACATTCCCATACAATAGTTGAATGGTTAGGCACAGGACCTCTTACAGTTACACAAAGCAGTGTGTTTGCATTTACAGAGGACATGTTCTTTTCCAGTTCCAAAGTTCACAGATATTGATATTGCAAATAATTTATTCCCTAGAACTCTTGTTTTATAGTTAAAATTGTGAAATTTTGGGGTCTCTAAAAATCATAAATTTTTATATGCATCACCAGAGTTGACCTTCATGTGGGGGCTATTTTTCCCAGCATAAGTTTTTATCACTTAGAATTATGTGAGCTTGACCAGAGAACAATCAAACCAGCTTGCAGAAGAAGTGGTTGCCGGCCCACTGGCTTAACTGCTATCTAAGGCAATCCTGATAGATGTGGGAGCGGTATAGAAGAGAGACAGCTAATTGCATCATCAACCTTATGGGTTGCTTGAAACTATTTTACTCTTCTAATATGAAATCTAAGAATACCATACTGTAATATTTAAAAAAACTTTCCATATGTTATACATACCCTAGTATCTCTCTCTCCAAGCAATATGGGATCTTGGAAATAACTCCAATCACCACTCCCAACTTCATGTTATTGTCATCTTTTATTATTTATCCCATCTTTTTTATCACATCATCCCCAAATTAGTCTTTAGGATGACTGCACCAAAACTAGTCATTGATATGACTATAGCAAGATTAGTCATTAATATGATTAGTCATTAAAATAAAGTTAGTAAACAACTTCTGTAAAGATGTTATGGCAAATATTTTTGGCTTTAGTTCCCAATACAACTACTTCATTGTGCTGATGTCATGTGAAAGTGGACTCAGTGGGAAGTGAATAACAGGGGCTCTGTTCTACCAAAACTATCTCCACAAACAGGCAGTAGACTGCATTTGGCCTGCAGGCCAGTTTGCCAAATCCTGGTTCATACAGTCAGAGTTTTATTTTCCCTGTCTTTACTTTTAAGCTGTTTGTGGTAGTTTGTTTGCAATGATAGATAATTGATAGAGAAAATTACATTAGGATAGCCCTCACCAAAGGCATAAGGGGTAAGGTTAAGGTGATTCTAGTTATAATATATTCAGTTTTTTCAAACAGCCTTTCATGGTCCTTTAATAGACTTTCATAGTCTCCCCCTTCCACTGAACTGTTTTTTAAACTTTTCATCTAAGCCTTTGTACAGTCAGTTTCCTTCTTTCTGAAATGCATCCTCTTGTAGGTCTTTCTCTGAGGGTCTCTAAAGTGTAACCACTCTTGCATGGAATTTCTAAAGCCCTCCAGTCTCATGCTCCTAATCTCATTTGATTGTAAGGATTTTAAGTTTATGTTAAAAAAAATTCCAAGTTCTGGAATTATTTTCTCTAAAATGTCTCTGATACAAAGTTGCATCTAGAATGTGTTTAGATACAGTGCATTTAAGACTATTTAATCATAATATAAATATGGACACCGAATGAAAAGGATTATCAGTAAAAATAGTTAATTTGTTAGAATGATAGGTTCATAGGTGATTTTTTTTCTAGTTTGTTGAATAAGTAAAAATTTGTTCTTGTTTCAACTGCTTCAACTTTCTTTTCCTTAGGAAAAAATATATTTCTAGATAAAAAGTAAAATTGGTATAATACCAATATCTAAATAGCGTGAAATTGGTTCCACTTTGT